CTTCCAAGTAAATAAACCTCTAAAAAGAAGGCTCTCCTCAGCACTGAGGCCCTTCTCCTGCTGCGCCCTCCCTCGCGGGGTGCAGGTAAGCATGGGCGGGGCTTTATGGATGCCCTTCTCTTCCCCTTCTTGTCTGAACCTCACGCCAGCCCTACAACTGTTCCCCTCAAGGTTGCTCACGACCCTTAGCTGAGGCTTTCAGTCTTTCGGACACCCATCCTCCCCTAATGGTTTTTAAAAGCCCCAGCTCATCTGCGGCTGAACGGACCCATCTGACCCACGGCTATTTTAAGTCTTCCGTTCCATTTTTCACCGCGGCCCCTGGGGACGCATCTCCCTTCCTTCTCACTTTCTCGCTCTCACGCTCTCCACCCCACCCCCACCCCGCTCCATTTTGGGCTGCTTTGTAATGTTCCGATTTGCATGTGCCCTGTCCCCCTCGCGGCGGACAGTCCCTGCTGTAGTTTCTGTCATTTTCTCATTTTCTCCTGGGTTCATCTTGGGGTATAACCGAGGTTTCTCTTTATAGAAGTTCCATAAGCCTTTTTTTTCTTTTCCTTTTTTTTTTTTTAAGCAACTCAGTGTTTTTTTTCAAAGTTCCCTTTTCCTGAATTGTTTTACTTTATTTATCTGAAAGCCAGAGAGAGAACTCTTCATGCGCTGGTTCACTCCCCAGGTGCTTGTAACAACAAAGGAATTCAATCCAAGTCTCCCACGCGGGTGGCAGGGACCCACCGCTGTGGTCCGCGGGGACAAGTGTCGGCAGGCAGCTGCATGGGGTATGGGTGCTCCATGTGGCCTGTGGGCACTGCGGGGGGTAGCTGAACTTGAACCACGGTGCCCTCACCCAAGTAACTGTTGCTTCCTTTTTAAATATTTATTTTTATTGGAAAGGCAGATTTTACATAAAGAGATTTTTACATTCACTGGTTTACTCCCCAAAGGGCCACAAAGACCAGAGCTGAGCAGATCTGAAGTCAGGAGCCAGGAGCCTTCTCCTGGTCTGCCTCGTGGGTGTGTTGTGCCGGTTTTTTGAAACCCCCAGATAATCATCAAGTCTGAAGTCGGTGCTGAGGCAAAAAGGTGGTTTATTCAGGTTAGCCTAGGTAACCCAGCGACCTCCCCCAGCCCAGCATGGCTGGGCGGGGGAGGGGCAGCCGCAGCTGAGGCTGCAAGGATCCACAAGGAGGACCAAAGAAGCGCCAGCCACAAGAGCCAAGGGAAGGGCCTGAGCCCAAGCCCCCCAGTTCTTATACATTTCAGGCTATTAATTATACAGTCATGACTTAGCAGGCTTCTATTGGTGGGTTTGAAACAAGCAATTTTCAAAAAGTACAAATCAATGAGCTATTGGGCTGTGAATCTTATCAAACACCAGGTACCTCCTTCCTGAGGAGTGACCTGCCAGAGTGTCACGTAGACTATCAGGCCTGAGGTTCACACAGCCCCCAGCCAAGCCATTAAGGCAGAATCACAAAAGGCAGAAAACGCCTAGGTTCTTCAGGTGCAGGGTCCCAAGCCTTTGGGTCATCCTCTACTGCTTTCCCCGGCCACAGGAAGGGAGCTGGATGGGAAGTGGAGCGGCTGGGATGTTGGCACCACCAGTGGAGAATCATTAGCTTGCCACACTGGCACGCTGCACCACCTTCTGTTTCTTTTTTCCATTTGTTCCCAGCACTTCAGGGCCGGGGGTGGGCTAGACATGCTGGCCCTGGCTTGGCAGGACCCCTGCCATCATCTGTCTGGGCCCAGCACCAGGGCCGCACACACTTGCCGCTCGCTCCGGCTGCTGGCTGGAGGTGTGGCTTAGTCCTCCTCGCCCACGGGCCAGGCAGCTCTGGGGGACCCTGTGGTGCTCCAGGGTGCATCTCTGGCATCCCAGACACACAGACCTACAACATTCAAGGGTATCAGACATCAAACACAGGTGTCAGAGCTGTCATTAATGTGTCCGCTGTCACACAGGTGTCAGGACCCAGCCTCCCAGCCCATCCTCGCCATCAGCTCCCTCTGGCAACCCCAACTTTTGTCTCTTTGTTCTTGGAGCCTGGGTCAGCTTCTCAGCCTCTTCCTTTTTGTTGTTGTTATTGTTTGTTCATTGTTATGGTCTTTTTAATTGTATAAATTTTATTTTTGATCATTTTTACATATTCGATTAGGGTACACAGATCAAGGGCTAGAGGAAAGTGGATGAGGCCATTGTTTTCATATTCTCTTTTTTCCTTCCTGTATCTGGTGGGAGGAGAAGTGGGGAGGTAAGGGGAGAAGCCACACCCAGACTCCCAACCATCCCAGGCCCCCAAGTGATTTTGATAGTTCAACAGTTCTAGATTGCTGCCAATCTCTCCATTCCAATCACGATGAAATCTCTCCAGACTCCACTGGCTGACATAGTCTACCTTAGAGCTTCCGTTTGTCCAGTCATTCACTGTCAGCACTGGGCTGGGGTAGTAGATCAATTTGTTCTGGCCTGCATCCTCTGTTACAGTACCAGGTGTCCTCTGCAGGCTCCAGTGTACTGCCACATCCTCCATGTGCATGTGGATACGCCGTCCACTGCTCCGTCTGAGCCAGAGGAGGCCCAGCTCTGACACATGCATTCCACGGTCAGACCATGGAACCTGCAATTCTCTCCATGGTTGGAATTCTGGGTCCAGCAGTTCAGCTGAGGGGATTTCCCAACGAAACTTCTTCTGAGGTGATCCCAGACCTGATTCTTGTGTGTGCATGCCAGTAAAGGGTCCAGTACAGTCCATTGTCCAAATTGGCCTATGCACACACTTGTAGTTGCTGGGTCAGTTCTGTCTCCAGCCCTGTCTTCTACGCAAATCAATAGGTGTTTCAGTCCAGACTAATCCTGCCCACTGCACACTCAGCTCCCATGCAAATCAGTGGGAGTGACCAGCAATAACCCCCACAAGGCCCATCCCCTGCCCTGGTTCCTGTGCTTGCCAGTATGTACAGCAGATCCCACATCCCATTCAGCTCTCATATATGTCAATGAGCATTGAAAAAGCCTAGTTCATCCCAACCAGCCCCACTATCCAGTCCATACTGGTGCTGGCTGGTGCCACCCTCTGTCTAGTCATGCCTGTCCCAGTCCTGGTTCTCATGCTCACCAGAGGAAGTGGCAACCCAAGAGGGAGGTGCCCACTGTTTCCCTCCTGGGCCCATCCCACTTCTGGATCTTGCACTCTCCAGGTGGTACCACAGTTTAGCTTGACAGTTTTCCCCCGTGCCAGCATCTGCCAGCTGATGCTGTGACAAAGCTCAACTAACTCTCACCCACTTTGGCTTATACATGTACCAGCAGTACAGTCTGCCCAGCCTGGCATTTCCCTAATCCAGCTTGCATATGGGTCAACAGGTGTTATAGCTCCGCCCAGCCTGATCTGCCCCCAGTTACAGCTCTCAGGCTCACAAGTGGGAGTAGTGGCCCAGCAGGGGAGCTCCCTGCAGCCCCTCTACCCGGTTCACTCACTCTCCCCAAGGTCTCACGTGTGCTGGTTGGGCACCGTGGCCCAATCTGGAATGGCCTGCCTCACCTCGGCATTTGCCAATGGGTGCTGTAGGCTGGTGGGGACTACAGCCTAACCAACCCAGCCAGCCTCCAGTCCCAGCCCTAATTGAACTGGCTGGTATTGCGGCCCAACCTGCCTGACCCACACACCATTCTGGCTCTTGGATTTAGTGATATGAACTGACCCAGCCTGGCTCTCCCCAGACCTGAGCCAAAGGTAAGCCTGTGGGTACTGTAACCTGGCCTGATCTGGGCTGCTCCTTTTCTTAATTCTTTTGCTCACCTGCAGGGACTGTGTCCCAACAGAGGGGTTCCCCAAGCTCCCCCATCAGAACCTCTTCCAATGCCAGATCTCGCACCCACTGGTGGGTCCATGGGCCAGCCCTACTTAGTCCGCTTCCTGTCCTAGTAGGAGCAGTAGCCTTTCTTGACTGGCCCTCATCCATCCTGGTTCTTACTGTTGGTTGCTTGCTATAGCCCAGCCAAGCCTAGTCCACACCCAGACACAGCTCACACGTGACGCAGCAAGGGCAGAGACCTAGCCTGGCCCATCTTACACCCATCCTGGTTCTCATGATCACCAATGGGTGCTGAAGTCTAGCCCAAAATGGCACACCTCAGACCCAGTCCACACCCATGCAAAGGGAGAGTAGCCATGTCCAGATCAGACCACAACCCCTATTCCAGCCCCCGCACTCACCAGTACGACCCACAACCCACCCAGGGCCTCCCCTTATCTCCCCATCCAGGCCTGATCCCAGCCACAGATCTCACATATGCCAGTGATTGCTCTGACCCAGCTTGGCATAGCCCCTCCCCTGTCCTGGCCTTTGCTTTCAGATACTGCAGCCTGGCCTGGCCCAGCCAGCCCCCAGTCCTAACTCTCACTGGCAGGTGCTGCAACCTGGCCCTACTCAGTCTACTCTCATCCCTGGTTCATGCAAACCAGTAGGTGTAGCAGCCTATCCTGGCATGACCTGCACTCCATCCTGGTTTCTGCACTTGTCAGTGGACTATGGTTTGCTCAGCCCTGCCCAGTCTGCCCCCTTTCAAAACCAACTCACACACTTGCTGACGGATGGAGCTACCCAGCCCAGCCTGCTCAACACCCAGGCCTGGACCACATGCTCATCAGCAGGAGCTATGACCCACTAGGGAAGTTTTCCAGGTTCCCCCACTCAGGCCGCTCCCTGGCCCAGATCTTACATATGCCAGCTAGTCCCTGGCTTTACCCAATATGGCCTGCCCCATCTGTTCCGGCCTTTGTACAAGCTGGTGCAGCCTGGCCTACCCTATACCCTGTTTTAGAGTGTTCATGCGGGTGCTGCAGCCTGGACCTGCCCTTCTTGTTCCCAGCCCCAGTACCAGTGAGCATCTGTGAGTTCCATGGTCACACCTAGCTCAGCCCATCACCATCCCAACTCTCAAGCTAACCAGCGGGACTTGTAGTTCCATAGAGATGGACCCACATATCCCCCACAGAATCCACCCTGGACCTGGTTATTTTGCATGGTGGTTGGTGTCATAGCCCGGTTTAATGCTGGGTCAACCTCTTCTCCTGAGTTCATTTTTTCAGGTAGCGGTTTTATGAAGCCTCAGAAGTGCTGGGGGCTGGCCACCCTACCAACACACTGTGTCCCCAGGATGCCCAGCACAGCCCCGGTCTCAGCTGTTATTGCTGTCGGTGTTGGGGAGTTGCAAGGGCCTCGAGAGACCTGGATCTCGCCCTCATGGGCCGTCAGGCAGCAGGGCCCGGGGTTCCTCCAGGACGCTGGAAGTGAGGATGAGAATGGTGGGTGTCCTCACAGGCTCACTCTGCCAGACGATGTTCTCAGGAAAGAAGTCTGAGCCTTGGCTCCATCCAGGGGCCCGGAGAGGGGCAAGGAGGTGTAGCCTGGGTCCGGGATCCCACAGCAGGTGGCAGATGGCCCTGCTGATGCCTCATGGGCTGAAGAGCATCATGACAAACTCTGCGGGCAAGCAGAGGACAGGCTCAGCCCAGGGCCGGCTCCCAGCAGGTGCTGGGCACTCAGGGAACAGCCAGGGCAGGGGCGACTCACCATCAAAGTCCACTGTGCCGTCACCATTGAGGTCCACTTCTCGCAGTATCTCGTCCAGCTCCGAGCCCTCCAATGGCTCCCCGAGCAGGGCCGGGGCCGCCTGCCGAAGCTCCGCCACTGTGATTCGTCCATCCCTGTCCCTGTCAAACTGAGACCCAGCAAACCTGCTGCCTCGGCTGCCGTCCTTACCCTTCCCGAGCCGCCTGCTCTGCGCAGGCTCCGCAATGGATTCCCTTGCTGGGATAAGCCCAACCTTCTAGGATCTGTCCCTGCTCCCTGCGCCTCTGGCCCCGCCCATGCATTTCTGGCCCCGCCCCCTGCACCCCTGACCCCGCCTCCCCCAGCCCACACCTCACACCTCTTGGAAGGCCACTCGCAGCTCCCGCACCCCTAGCATGTGCGCCGTCTCCTCCCGCAGCTTTGGACCTATCAGCTCCACAAACTCCTCGAAGTCCACGCAGCCGCCCACTGCAGACCAGGGCCAGAGAGGCACAGTGGGGAGGGCCACACAACACGTTTCCGGTGCACACCCGCAGGTGCCAGCAGGTGGAACCCCATCCCACAATGTTGGGGTCTGGGCTGTTCTGGGCTCAGCCAGGGCCTCCACGGGTGGGAGGAGGAGACCAGGTTTGCCACAGGTGTGTGTCCACACAGGGCCCTGGGTGACTGGCCTACCACGGGGTGCTCCCAGGGTTAAGTCTGGACTACAAAACCACTTCTGGACTCTGGGCCCCACACGGGTCCAGCACAAGACACAGGCAGCAGGCAGGAAGCCCCAGCCACATCCCCTCCCAGTAGGGCGTGGGGCAGGGGTCCCAGGACAGAGGAGAGGCGACCACAAACGGGCAGCACCGCACGTGATCGCCCATCCTTGGTCACAGGAAGCAGCCCAGAGCACGCCAGAGGGCTAGGGGCTCAGGGTGGGGGCCAAGCCACAGAGAAGGGGAGAGTAAGGGAGCCAGGAAGCCTGCACAGGGCTGCACAGGCCACTGGGTCTCCAAAGGTCAGGCCAGGAGGGCAGGAAGGGCTGGGGGGCAGGCAGGGTGCAGAGAGCCGGCGTCCTGTGGCATCTCCAGAACCAGATTGACGGGCCCCCTCCCCCACTCCCCGTAGACCCTCCCTGCCCCCACTGAGCATCACTGACTGCGCATCTTGACATGTTGCGAGAGTTCTAGAAGCTCCATCTCCGTGGGCATGTAGCCCAACGTCCGCAGGCATTCACCCAGCTCGCGGTGGCCCAGGTAGCCGTCACGGTCAGTGTCAAACTCCTCGAAGGCAGCCTGCAGCTCTGTAGGGAAGGGCAGTCAGCAGGGTGGGGGCGGGGAGGGGAGGCTCAGGGGCCCCACCCTCCCCCGCCCCACACTCACCTTCCAGCTCCTCTGCTCCCAGCTCCCGGTCCTACAGGTGGAGAGGGAGGGGTGAGGCCAGCCTGTGCCCAGGACCTCACTGGGGCTCCACCAGTCCATCCTGCCTCCTCCAAGCCCTGCCTATGTTGGGCACTGGGCAGGGCCCCCAGACTGACCGCCCAGATCACCAGGGTGCTATAGCGCTAGGGTGGGCTGCCCCTGAGCCCGGGAACCTGCACCTCACCCTGGTCCCTGGTCCCTCTGACCTTTCCGAAGATTCGGTTGAGCAGTGGCCCATATGTCCTCTGAGCAGCAATGTCACAGTGGTCCAGTCGGTGTCTGGAGCGGCGCCGCAAGGCCGGCCCGGGGACTGCTCCCGCAGATCCCGCAGATCCCGGGTGGCCCTCTCCTGGCTTGCCACTCCCAGTAGGCTTGGGGCCCTGGGCAGAGGGCGGCTCCTTGGAGCTGCTGACGCCTTGGCGGGACCCGCTGAGTCCTTTCTTCTTCTTGCTGCTCCTGCTGGTGGCCAGGGGGCCCTCAGCCTGGCTCCTGGGGCTCTCAGCCTCCACGGGGGGCTGCTGGGGGCCTGGCTGCCCACTCCCCTGCTCTGCAGCCATGTGGGGAGGGCCGGCAAGCACCCTGAGCCGCTCAGCTCTCCCAGGACCCTAAAGCTGCTTTAGACACCTGCCCCCTTAGCACCTGGGCCTGGGCCCTGAGTGGGATTAGGGTAAGTGAGGGTGGCAGCCCAAGCCCTAATCCTAGGGAAGCCAGGGAAGGGCCCCCAGCAGATCAACAGAAATGTCCTTAGTAGCAGAATCCGCACATCCTTCAAGGCCCTTCCTTGTGAAGCAGAGCAGACGCAGCTGTGGGCCAGGGGTGCAGAGCCAGGCGGAAAGGAACCAGGGAGGAGTGTGGGCAAAGGCTGAAACACAGGAACAGATGCGACAGGTGCCATGCTAATGAGGCTGGGGCCTTGAGTGCCCAAGTGAAGGCCAGGAGTGATGTGCGAGGATGCCGCTGTCCCGCAGGAGCTGAGGGGCACCCCAGGCAGAGGAGGGCTGCGTGGCCTGGCCCTGGCGGCTAGAGTGCAGTGTGCCGGTCACTCGGCCTCAGCGGGCAGGGGTTAGAGTTTCCTGGACAGCAGCCCCATGAATGATTGATGTGCCCACAGCTTGGGTTTCCTGCCTGTCCGCCACAGCGTCGCCGGGCGCCATGCGGCAGCAGGCCTCAGGCTGGGGCCGTGGACGGCCGCCGGACCCCCAGGCACGCAGGTGCACTCCACTCCTTCCAGCTTTGGCTGTGTGCCTCACAGGTAAGCCGGGTCTCCTGGGTAGAGTCCTTGGAGGAGAGGGAGGGACATCCCCCAGGCTCTGGCCCCACAGCAGCTGGAGCTTGCACAGGGAGGGGAAGGACGTTGAAGAGGCCTGCGCTGTCCCAGGCTGCCAGGACCGGCGCTCAGGCCTCCCTGTCCCCAAGTCCAGGAGAGGCACTGGCTTGGGGGGACCCTTGGCCTCCCGCAGGCCCATGGGCCTGGAGCCTGCCACTTTTGGGCCCTTCACATGAACCCCAGGTTTCACCTTGTTCTTGAGAGCCCTGGGGTCCCTCCCTCCTCCCTCTTCCCCCTTTTTCCATTGGAGCCTCCCCTCTTAGGTATAGGAGAGACCCACTCTTTATTTATTTGTTTATTTTTTTAAAAAAATATGGATTTTTATTCAAAAGGCAGAGTTACAGAGAGAGAAGTCTTCCATCTGCTGGTTCACTCCCCGCGTGGCCACAACAGCCAGAGCTGGGCCAGTCCCAAGTGGGGAGCCAGGAGCTTCTTTGTGGGTGCAGAGGATAAATATCTGAGCCACCCTCTGCTGCTTTGCCAGGCACCTAACAGGCGCATGGACTGGGACTCGAACGGGCACCTTGTGGATTGCTGGCGCTGTGGGCAACAGCCCTAAGAGGGAGCAGGGGTCCCCATCTTAATATGCAGTTTAAAAGTGCAAGTGCACAGCTTTTTCTACCAGTGGGAGCCTCCTGGCTGGGCATACCTGATGCCTGGGCATTCCCGAGGCAGGACTGGTCACTTGGGTGTGAGCTCCAGGGCTCTAGCCGTGTCTTGACTGAGACACCCCCAGAACCTTCCTCTCCTCCCCCATCGAAGGCATGGGGGAGGGTTCATACTTAGGCACACGCGGAGGACGCCAAAGCCGATGACGACAGCTTAGAGAGGACGGTGAGTTGCTGGCAGAGGCACAGCCCCCTCCCTCACACCACGCCACTCATGCATCCCTTGGTTTACCAGGTGCCCACGCCACATCCAGCCGTCCACTGGAGACGCTAACTGGACACTGCTATGGAGGCCTACTTGGGGGCCGCTGACTATGACCCTCATACACAGCTGGACGACGATGAGGACAGCTCCCCCCAGGGTGGCTGGGACACGGTCTTCCTGGTGGCCCTGCTGCTGCTGGGGCTGCCCGCCAACGGGTTGATGGCATGGCTGGCAGGCTCGCAGGCCCGGCACGGGGCAGGCACGCGGCTGGCATTGCTCCTGCTCAGCCTGGCCCTCTCTGACTTCCTGTTCCTGGCGGCAGCCGCCTTCCAGATCCTGGAGCTCCAGCATGGAGGCCACTGGCCGCTGGGGACAGCCGCCTGCCGGTTCTACTACTTCCTGTGGGGCGTGTCCTACTCATCGGGCCTCTTCCTGCTGGCGGCCCTCAGTCTAGACCGCTGCCTGCTGGCCTTGTGTCCGCGCTGGTACCTGGGGCGCCGGCCAGCCCGCCTGCCCCTGTGGGTGAGCGCTGGAGTCTGGGTGCTGGCCACGCTCTTCAGCGTGCCCTGGCTGGTCTTCCCCGAGGCCACCGTGTGGTGGTACGACCTGGTCATCTGCCTGGACTTCTGGGACAGCGAGGAGCTGCCGCTGCGCATGCTCGAGATCTTGGGCGGCTTCCTGCCCTTCCTGCTGCTGCTGGTCTGCCATGTACTCACGCAGGCCAAGGCCAAGGCCTGCCGCCCATGCTGCCGCTGCCGCTGCTGCTGCTGCCGCCGCCAACCCCAGCCCCCCGGGGGCCACGGCTTCGCCCGCGTGGCCGAGACCATCTTGTCGGCCTATGTCGTCCTCCGTTTGCCCTACCAGCTGGCGCAGCTGTTCTACCTGGCCTTCCTGTGGGACCTGTACCCCGGCTACCTGCTCTGGGAGGCCCTGGTCTACTCCGACTACCTGATCCTGCTGGACAGCTGCCTGAGTCCGTTTCTCTGCGTCGTGGCCAGCGCCGACCTGCGGGCCCTGTTGCGTGCACTGCTCTCCTCCTTCGCAGCAGCACTCTGCGAGGAGCGGCCAGACAGCTTCATGCCGCTGCAGGACCCGCACACCCAGGAGGCCGCGGGGGCTGTGACACCGCCAGGGCCAGAGGCTGGCCCCCAGCTATCATCAGACTCCGTGGCCCAACCTCCAGTGAACCCCACGGACCAGCCTCCTGCAAACACCACTGCCCAGGCGTACATGGATTCAACCGCCCAGACACCAACAGACTCCGTGGTCCAGACCCAGATAAACCCCATGGATCCGCCTTCTGTGAACACCACAGCTCAATTACACGTGAATGCCATGGCCCAGCCACACGTGGACCCCCTGGCCCAGCCACACGTGGACCCCCCGGCCCAGCCACACGTGGACCCCTCAGCCCAGCCACACATGGACCCCTCAGCCCAGGCACCATCAGACTCTGTGGTCCAGCCTCAGCCCAACACCCAGGCTCAGACATCTGAACCCATGGTGGGCTCAGCCCCTGGCCCCGATGCCCCAGCCTCCCCTATCCCTTCCTCAGATCCTATCCCGGGGACCCCCGAGGCCCCCGCTGAACCAGCAGCCCCTGAGGGACACAGCCTCAGTAGTGTCCCACTGGACGAAGCTCCCAGTGCAGGCGCCACGTGAGGCCCAGCCAGCCCCAGGCCCACGGGGCAGTGGAAGAGCCGGAGGGCCAGGAGCATGGAGGACGATGTGTAGGAAGACTGCAGGGCTGCATCCCCTCTCTCTACCTCTCTCTCCCTCCCTTCCTCCCTGCCCCGTCCTCCAGTCCGGACAGCTGGACACCAAATCAAATGTCCCCGCAGAAAGAGGGGTCTTCCAGGAGCTGGCCACCCCAGCTCGATTCCAAGGCCCTAGTGACACGCCAGCTGGCCTCGGCATGGCCCAGCCCTGTTCGCCAGGCCCCCTGGGCAATGGGGGTTCGGCAGGACTTTCCCCAGCAGGGTGGTAGGGGAGGTAAGAGCTAGGCACAAGGCTGCCGCCAGCCCGGCTCAGCTGCACCCTGGCTGGGTGCGTCAGACAAGCTCTGGGCTCCTGAGCTCCTGACCACGGACGTCAAGGGTGATGTCATGGGGTGGGGTGCAGGTGTGAGGCACCCGTAAGGGCCTGGCAGTAGTAGGCATCTGCTTCCTTCTCTGGCAGGCAGGAGCAGAAGAGAGGGGAGAGGAGAGGCAGGCAGGCGTGCCACCTGGCAGCCCTGGGACCTAGTAAAGCCACGTGGCCTGTGCAGTTTATGCAGAGGCTCCATGTGCCTGCCTGCGTGTGACACCCCAGCCCCTCAGCCGTACCCCTCAACACAGAGGGCAGCCAAAATGCCACGCGGGGGCTGCAGGAACAGAGTGTCCTGGGCCCAACCTCCCAGACCCAACCGAAGGCCAGCAGTGGGAGCTGGGCAGGCACAGAGCGCTCCGGGCACTGGAGGTGCCAGGAAGGGCAGTTGGGGCCACACAGCCACCCAGGCTGCCTGCCCTCACCCACGGCCCTTCCCACCCTCTCCCACCAGCTCCCAATAACCATGTCCCAGACACCTTGCTCCTCTCTTCCCTCCGCCCCCGGCCTTTCTCACTGACTCCTGACAAGCCCAGCAGCTGTGACTGACCTTGCCACATGGGCTGCCCCTCCCCGGGCAAGCTTGCATTTTCCCAGGTGGCAGAGATAGTCAGCCAGTCCTGGAGTTTGCCCCTCTCACTCTAACTTGCTCAGGGCTGCCAGCTGTGATCCTTAACTGACCCCAAGGTTGGGGATAGCACTGGGGACCCCAGAATCGTGACCGTAGCATTTATCAGGGATGGGATAGTGGGCACCGAGCAGGTGGCAGAGAGGTTTCTGGGCAGGTATGGGCTTGTGGAACACAGTCGCCTGGCGCCTTTCTGGCCAGCCTTCTTGCAGGGACCCATGGGTGGGCTTCAGAGATCCCCTGACGTGACCCACCACTCACCAGGTGTGAGACCCTCAGTCAGGCTCTGCGGACTCGGTATGCCTGTCTGTAAAACGAGCGTCATAAACACACTTGCTCTCCATGCCATGGTTGAATCCTTGTCGGGCACAGAGGAAGTCCTATCTGCCCATTCACCAGATCATACCTGGAGGTAAGGACCAGACCACATGACGGGCAGCCCAGCCATCTGGCATTGTCCCTGTTGGATTCTCAGGACTTTAGGTCCCAACAAGGCCAAAAAAGGCCACTGGGCAAGCTGGGAGAGTTTTGTTGAAAATAGTATCCCAAAGAAAGGGGCAGGGAGGGTAAGATATGGGCCCGGACAGCAGATGGCACGCAGGGGCACAGGAAACCCAGAACCCGCCGGGGATGATGGGAGTGTGTTCTCTTACACACGTGGCCTGGAAAAGCATCATGGATACTGACAACCCCCCCATACACACACAGCCTCCAGGCGGGCCTGACAGACGTTTATCCGTACTAGCAGTTGACAGCGTGGGGCCAGCTATCCTGAGCCGGACTGTGGGAGCCCCAGGGTAGAGTCCAAGTTACACGGGGCACAGGAATCCTTCTCAATCAGGCGTCTCATCCCTTTACCGCTCTCCTCTCGGAGGCAGTGGCCCAGCGCCCTAGAAGGCGGCAGGGAAGGAGGCCTCAGCCACCTGCCTCAAGCTGTGCTCCACACAGCAGGTGCTTGCCCCCAGCTGTCTGACCCCTGCCACCCTCAGGGAACCTCACCCCTTCTGCAGACAGCAACCCCATCCTGGTCCCAACCTTGACTCCAAGCATAGTGAAAATGAACATTATTTTTTAAAAAGTCCTGGGCCCGGCGCTGGAGGTTAGCAGCTAAAAGTCCTCGCCTTGGCACGCACCAGGATCCCATAAGGACACCAGTTCTAATCCCAACAGCCCCACCTCCCATCCAGCTCCCTGCTTGTGGCCTTGGAAAGCAGTAGAGGATGGCCCAGGGCTTTGGGACCCTGTACCCACGTGGGAGACCCAGAAGAAGCTCCTGGCTCCTGGCTTCCAATCGGCTCAGATTTGGTTGTTGTGGCCACTTAGGGAGTGAATCATCGAACAGATCTTCCTCTCTGCTTAAAAAAAAAACCCTTCAGAACTACCTGCCGTCCATTCATTCATGTGGGCACACCACACACTGGGCAGTCCCAGCAGAGGGCACAGGCACAGAGAGGGACAGAGGGGCATCAGGAGGTGACCGGCACTTGACAAAGCAATGGAAGCAAGCAGGGCGGCGGGGTGGGGGCACCCAAGGAGGTGACCAGGGGCCAGGGCGGGGTGGGGGCATCCGAGGAGGTGACCAGGGGCCAGGGCGGGGTGGGGGCATCCGAGGAGGAGGAGGTGACCAGGGGCCAGGGTGAGGTGGGGGCATCCGAGGAGGTGACCAGGGGCCAGGGTGAGGTGGGGGCATCTGAGGAGGAGGTGACCAGGGGTCAGGGCGGGGTGGGGGCATCTGAGGAGGAGGTGACCGGGGTCAGGACGGGGTGGGGGCATCTGAGGAGGAGGTGACCAGGGGCCAGGGCGGGGTGGGGGCATCCGTGGAGGAGGAGGTGACCTTGGAGGAAGTGAGGATGGATTCTTTGGGAGAACTTGGAGAAGAATGTCCAGAGACAGGACACAGGATTGTGCCCACACACTGGTGGGCATGAAGATGGCTTGTTTCTGGGCCCTGAGGGCCAGTGTCCCCAGAACACATGCAGGGAGAGGGCAGGGGAGACTGTGAAGAGCCAGGGGATGGGAGGCACTTTAGACAGGTGGGGTCCACCAGCCCCAGGTGCTGCAGTGGCACAGGAGGGAATTCTGGCTGGGTGCCTTTGGGCAAGTGGAGCCAGACACCTGCTCAGTCTAGCCCAGCCCTGGGCACAGCCAGGCTGCTTGCAGGCCTGGACGGGGTCCCTTTAGACTTCTCTCCCACTCCCCATCATGTCCTCCCCTCTTTGAGAAAGGGACTCTGCTGTCACCCCTTGGTCACCCGATGCCGGGGAGAAGGGACACGGGCCTGAGGGGGGAGTGGACAGTCCCTGCTGTACAACCTACTCCCGGGCTTTCTCATTCTTTCCCATTTAGCCTCGGACAGAAGCTTTTTATCCTATATGGAAAGAGCACGGGAAAGCGGAACTCTAAGTGACCCTTCTTGTAGCACCCCAATAACTGAAAGCTCACGCCAGCCAGAGACACACCAAGGATTGCGCCGCAGAAGTAGATCAGATCGTGAAAAGCTATGCATGACTTTGAAACGGCCTTTGAGCACCCGCAACAGTCTGATTTTCCCAGCCGCTTCCCGCGCCCCTTTTGAAGCCCCTGTCACATTCTGGAGCCAGAGTGAGGGCGTTGCAGTGGGCGTCCCGGGGGTGCCGGCTCCCCGGGCCCCGCCCCGCTCCGCCCCTTCGCGCGTGACCGCGGCCCCCGCCCCGCCCCCGCCCCGGCTCCTCTGTCACTTCCTGATTCCCGCTTCCTGCTTCCCCGAGGAGGCCGGGATCGGAGCCGCCCCAGGCCGGTGCCGCAGCCCCCGGCGCCCCCGGTGAGCGGTGAGCGCGCAGGGAGGGAGCTGGGGGCGCCGGGAGGCCTTCGGGAGCCCTCCCCTCGCTGCGCCCCTCCTGCGGACCCCCGCCTTCCCTGGCCCTAGCCTCGTCCCCTCCCGGCCCGGGGTCCCTGGAAGTTGGGCCGCGGTTCTCCTGGGACGCAGCGGCGTCCTCCTGGCCCCCACCCTGTCCTGCTGAGCGGCCAAGCGCCCCTGGGCCGCGCTGGAGGCTGCACAGTGCCGGCCACTCAGAACTGGGGCGCAGCCGGAACCGCGCGGGTGACCTGCTCTGCCTTTTCTTTCCTTTGAGTGGCTGGCCCCCATCCCCCAGTGATCCAGCAAAGAGCTTGCTAAGCTTTCTCCAGCCAGGGCACTTCCCACTAGTCCCTCTCCCCAACGCACACACGCCCACCTGCCCAGAGCTGGGCAGGGGCCTGGGGGAAGTGCACGGGGCTGGGGGGGAGGGTGATGGGGGTGCCCCTGTGACCCCCCGCTGTGTACCTGGCGGGTTAGAATGTCCAGTGTCTAGTCTCCCATTTCCTCTCCTAGCCCAGCGGGTTCCGTGGCTGACCCCTAGTCTCTGGCCTGCAGACATGTCATTCCGCAAGGTGGTCCGGCAGAGCAAATTCCGGCACGTGTTCGGGCAGCCGGTCAAGAATGACCAGTGCTACGAGGACATCCGAGTGTCCCGCGTCACCTGGGACAGCACTTTCTGCGCTGTCAACCCCAAGTTCCTGGCAGTGATTGTAGAGGCCAGCGGCGGGGGTGCCTTCCTGGTGCTCCCCCTACACAAGGTGGGCCCCTTGGGCGTGAGGGAGGAGGTCGGGAAAGGAAGGCCAGGGCTCCTGGGCCACACCTGCTTGCCCAGCCCTTCTACCTGCCTCCTGCCTACAGGACAGGTGTCTGAAGCCAGCTTTACTGCCCCGAGGTGTCAGCACAGGTGGAAAATTGTTTTATTGCCCCTAGAGTCAGAGCCAAAGAGTGGGTGGGTCCCACAGGTGCCAATCCCAGGACAAAGGGTGGCCCCTGGCCTGCCGTGGACCTGAGTGCCCCCTGCCCACCCCTCCCACCTGCAGACAGGCCGCATCGACAAGGCCTACCCGACAGTGTGTGGGCACACGGGACCCGTCCTGGACATTGACTGGTGTCCCCACAATGATGAGGTCATTGCCAGCGGCTCCGAGGACTGCACGGTCATGGTGAGGCACGGGCAAGGCGGTGGTCGGGGGTGGGTGGCAGCAGGGGCCAGCTCCAGGCCTCAGCATGTTGCCCCCCACCCCACATTGTAGGTGTGGCAGATCCCCGAGAACGGGCTGGTCTCCCCGCTCACCGAGCCCGTGGTGGTGCTTGAGGGTCACACCAAGCGAGTGGGCATCGTCACCTGGCACCCTACTGCCCGGAACGTGCTACTCAGCGCAGGTCTGTGCTGCCCACCACCCACCCCGCCCCACCCCCTCCCCCGTCCAGGAGCCAAGGGGCCTGAGCAGCTAGCCCCCCCCCCCACAGGCTGTGACAACGTGGTGCTCATCTGGAACGTGGGCACAGCCGAGGAGCTGTACCGCCTGGACAGCCTGCACCCCGACCTCATCTACAACGTCAGCTGGAACCGCGACGGCAGCCTCTTCTGCTCTGCCTGCAAAGACAAGAGTGTGCGCATCATCGACCCTCGCCGCGGCACCCTCGTGGCAGTATGTGTCCCTCCCGCTCGGTCCCTCCACCCCACCGAGAGGGCACAGGTGGCCACGCACTGACCGCTCTGTTGCCCGCAGGAGCGGGAGAAGGCCCATGAGGGCGCGCGGCCCATGCGGGCCATCTTCCTGGCTGATGGCAAGGTGTTTACCACGGGCTTCAGCCGCATGAGTGAGCGGCAGCTGGCGCTCTGGGACCCGGTGAGTGGCCGGAGTGGGGGCCGGGGGCAGGAGCAGGAGTGGCCGGTGGCTCCCGGGTTCTCAGATGCTGTCCTTGGCGGCCCACTGGCCCTCCCCTGCACGCTGCGGTAGCCTCCTCTCCGCTCCCTCTGTGACCGGGCCTTACCTAGTCTGTGGCGCTGGGCTGTCCCACAAGGCAGGGGGCACAGGCAGGTCCAGTGAGCAGCTGGGCTGGTGAGAAGTGTGCCCCGTGGTAGCTGGCCAGAAGCAGGAGGCCTTGGCACATGTGGCCTGATCTGTCCCCTCTCCTCTGCCTGGCACTAGGGCAACCTTGAGGAGCCTATGGCCCTGCAGGAGCTGGACTCAAGCAACGGGGCCCTGCTGCCTTTCTATGACCCCGACACTGGTGTGGTCTACGTGTGCGGCAAGGTGGGCTGGCCGGAAGGGTGAGGTGGAGGGCGGAGGGGTAGGGGATGGCTGGTGCTGATGGCCCTGCCCCGCCTACCAACAGGGCGACTCCAGCATCCGGTACTTTGAGATCACGGATGAGCCCCCCTACATCCACTTCCTGAACACCTTCACCAGCAAGGAACCCCAGAGAGGCATGGGCAGCATGCCCAAGAGGGGCCTGGAGGTCAGCAAGTGCGAGATTGCCCGGTAAGGGAGCCCCACCCACCTTGGGACAGTGTGTGGGCGAGGGCATGCGAGGGGAGAAGTCAGATGGCAGAAGGTGGCTCAGGATGGTCGGGGAGTGGGCTGCTGCAGCAGGGCAGCCTGGAAAAGGATCCAAGTCAAGGATTGGCCGGGAGGGGGGGTGTGCTGAGAGCCCAACCGGAGTTCAAGCTGTGGCTCTACCCTGTCCCACCCCAGGTTCTACAAACTCCATGAGCGCAAGTGTGAGCCCATTGTCATGACCGTGCCAAGAAAGGTGAGGACGCCTCGTGTTGCCGTCCACTGCTGGCACAAGATCCAGAGTGGGGTGTGGCCAATGGGCTGGACACAGGCCAGCGTGTCCCCAGACACAGCCAAGTGTGGTGCCCTGCTGGGCGGGGGCAGCTGTGCTCTGGGCAAGCCTGAGAGGGAGAGACCAGCCCACTCTGGAGGGTTTCCCATAGGAGGTGGGACCCACAGCACAGCTGGGATGGTGGTGCAAGCCCAATGGGGAGGGCGTGGCAGTGGGAAGTGGAGAGACAGCCAGGGAAGTCTCATCTGGAGGGGACCAGGCCACGTGTGGCCTGGACACATTTCTATTATTCTCCAGCCAGCGCTGGCCCAGCACTCTGGTCAGCATGCCAGGCACTTCTCAGAGTAGAGCCGGGAGCCTGGTTGGTAGGGGCTGCCCCTGGAGCTCATACACGTGGCTCCTGGACACAGGCAGGGAAGGTGGTGCCAGGGGCTCACACAGTGTGGCTGGGCCAGCTTCAGAAGATGCTGGCCGTGGGGTCCAGAAAGGGGGCGAGAGAAAGGGCAGGCATGGGCTGGGGGCTGCTAGGGGAGGTGCTGGCAGACCCCACACCTGGAGGCCAGGAGGGGCCCTCCTCGCACTCTCGCAAGCTCATCTTGACCTCCAATCTGTGCAGTCGGACCTCTTCCAGGACGATCTCTACCCAGACACAGCTGGGCCCGAGGCAGCCCTGGAGGCCGAGGAGTGGGTGAGCGGGCGGGACGCTGGTCCTGTCCTCATCTCTCTACGGGAAGCCTACGTGCCCAGCAAACAGCGGGACCTGAAGGTCAGCCGGCGCAACGTGCTGTCGGACAGCCGGCCCACCAGCACCGGCCGCCCGGGCGCCTCCGCGGCCGCCCCTGCCCCCGCGGCCGAGGCCACGCCCAGCAGCATGCTCACGGGAGCCGGGGTAAGTTCCTGCCCACTCGCGAACCTTGCTGGACCCCAGGCCTCTCCCCGATGGCCCTTCTTACCTGTCGCCGTGTCCCAGCAGGAGGCTGGGAAGCTGGAGGAGGTGATGCAGGAGCTGCGGGCTCTTCGGGCGCTGGTGCGGGAGCAGGGTGAGCGCATCAGCCGCCTGGAGGAGCAGCTGGGCCGCATGGAGAACGGGGAGGCCTAGTGAGCGTGGCCCACGCCTACTGCCCCACGCTGCCGCAGCCCCCTCACCCGTCACTCAGCTTCTGCTGGCAGGTCACACCAGGCTGCTGGCCACGCGGGGCGTGGAGGGGGTGCCTGGAGCAGGGCAGGGACTGCTCTGTACCCACCCACCCCCTTACCCACCCCTGCCAGGGGCCTGGGCAGGGCCAGAGGGTTTTGTGACCAAGGAGCCAGTTCACTGCACCCCAAGGATCCCCTTCCCCTGCCCACCCAGCCCTGAGCGCCCTCCCTCAGGGGGTGGGGGTGGGGTGGGAGCTGGCTGGCCTCTCTATTTTCATTCCAAATAAAACTTTTCTTTCTAGAAGCTGTGTCTGAGTGTGGGGCTGGGAGAGGAAGTCGAGAGAGCTGGGGGCAGACAAGGGAGGCCACAGCATTGCAGGCGGGCAAGGTCCTGAGCAGCGAGCAGCCCGGGTCGCCCTCCGCTGAATCCTGCCAGACGGGGAAACCAAGGCAGGGGCCTGCAGCGCTGCATCCTTTGCTGAACTCCGGGCTACAAGTCCCCAGCCCAGCTCCATCCCCAGAGGATGTGTGTGTGCTGGGGGTAGGGTGGTCCTGAGAGACCAAGGGCCCCAGGCAGGGCTCTGGGGCCAGGGAGCAGAGGGAGGGGTCTGTGGCAGGAAGCGGAAGTGCCCCACTGCAGCTAAGCTCACTTCTCGCTTGACACGGCCCGAGCTGGAGGTGGGCGCCCTGCGCAGCAGCCAGCACACCGATGGTGAGCCTCAGAAGCCGGGGTACTGGGGTGGGGGCCCTAGGAAGTCGGGGATGGCATTTTCTGGGCTCTGAACCATCCCTCTCCCTAATAAACCTGGAGAGACCAGAGACCCTGCATGAGGGCAGGGCTGGCGGGGGCAGGCAGGGAGGTGCCGGCCACTGAGCCAGCCTCCTTTCCAGCAGCCCAAGCTCCAGGCCGGGCCCCCTTGGGACCCTCAGAGGGGACCCCTCTGCTATTCCTCCCCCCGCCCCGGGGGCTGCCCTGGGCACAGCTTCTGTCGGCAGCCCCACAGCTGGGGTGGAGGCCTGCACCCCCAGTTCCCCTCCCCCTCCCCACCTGCCCGACCGCAGGCTTCCTCTGACAGCGCTGCCTGTGCGCCTGAAGCCCGCCAGAGACCGGAGAGTGGGACGGAAAACTTACAACTGGGGCAGCCCCGGGGCTGGGAGGAAGGGGGACCTAGGGACCCTCCTGCAAGGACCCTGCTCTGTCTGGCTCCTCCTCTCGCCTGGTGGCTCAGGGCACTTGCTAGGCACCCCTCATCCCTGCCTCCCCACAGCCTTCTCCTGGTGGCAAAATTAGTCTAGTGTTGGGTGTTAGGGCTGAGCCTGGACTGCCGTACAGTTCCTAGCAGCATCTGGGATTCCCGCCGGAGGGAGCAGCCATGCCGACAGGCTGCCTGCCCTCAGAAGGGATCAGTCGGAGGGCCAGGACCCCATGGCCCCTGCTTGGCCGTCCTCATCTTGCACGGAGGCTGTCGAGAGCCCCCTGGAGAGGGGACAAGTCAGGGTGTCTGGCTGGCAAGTCCTCCACCTGCCTGTCTCCTGCAGGCTCTGCCCTGCGCCCTGGGGCTCGGGTCGCTGTTGTTGCTGCCGGGAGCCATGGGCAGTGGGAAGGAGGACAGCATGGGTTCCAGCTCCATCACCGTGGTCCTGCTGCTGCTGCTGCTGTTGCTGCTGGCCACCAGCCTGGCCCTGGCCTGGCGCCGCCTCAGCCGTGACTCAGGGGGCTATTACCACCCAGCCCGCCTGGGCGCTGCGCTCTGGGGCCGCACCCGCCGCCTGCTCTGGGCCAGCCCCCCAGGCCGCTGGCTGCAGGCTTGGGCCGAGCCAGGCTCGCAAGACGCCGACCCTGAACAGCGACCAGAGGAGGATGAACAAGACGCTGATCCTGAAGATGCTGAAGATGCCATTGACGGTGGCCCAGACAGTGCCGGCCCCTGGGAGGGCGGGCAGCAGCCAGGAGCAGGGCCCTGCCCTGAGCAGGCCCCAGAGCAGGCCGAGGAAGCCCAGGACAGCGACACTGAAGGCAGCCTGGTCCTCGGCTCCCAGGGGCCGGCGGGCGCAGGGGGCAGTGCCGAGGCCCTGCTGAGTGACCTGCACGCCTTCTCGGGCAGTGCAGCCTGGGATGACAGCACCGGGGCGGTGGGGGGCCAAGGCCTGCACGTGACTGCGCTGTAGTGTCCCACCCATCATAGCCCCCCTCACTGGGTCTCTGCTTTCCAAGCTGGACACCGCCTGTCCTGGACTGGTTATCACCCACGCCCCCACTGTGGAGCCCCTGCGACCGTCACCACCCCCACTTTCCAAAGCTCCGGGTATCCCCTGCACTGGAAATAAATGCCAACACATCCTCACAGTGCTGTGGTCCCACCCCCGGCCCCAGATCCAGCAGAAGAGCCAGCGGAGGACATGATGAAGTGCTTTAATTCAGGGCACAGGCCCAGAGCCCAGTCACGGCCCGCAGGCACTTTGTGCTCATGATTTGAGTCCGGGGGACAGCCACACTCACCCCCAATAGTGACATCCTGGAAGCTGGCCCAGGATCTGGAAGGGCCTCGACAGCCTGCCTCCTCCCCTCCTAGCGCCCAGGCCTTCCCCGGCCCCTCTTAGACTTCTTGGTCCCTGAGGGGGGGCGGATGGGGAGGGGGGCAGTGCTGGAGGAGGGTGGAGGTGGCGGCAGGAGCGGGGGCAGAGGCGGCTCCGCGGGTTCTGGGGGGCCAGGGCTGGGCCGAAAGCCCTCAAAGGGGGAGAACTTGAGAGGACTGTGGGGGAAACCAGGGCAGAGTCAGTATCCTTAGCACGCCCCTCAACCAAGGGGGGCACAGTTGTGGGGTCCACACCCTCCCATCGTGCAGGGAGAGGGGGCGCTCCTCTGGGTTACCTGACGGGGGTTCGTGGACTGCTGTGTAGGCGCCGGGGTGAACGCAGCTTGGGCTGGAAGGAGAAGCCTTCCTTGATGCTGTCCAGGACAGAAGGTGCCACGTAGGTGAAGCCCTGGGGACAGCAGGGACAGCTGGCTCAGTGTCCATCACTGCCCATCCACCTCCACCACCAGCTCGCCTGCCAGCCTGCCCTGGGGCCCCCAAGCCTCCAGGCCTTACCAGGAAGGCCTGGTTGGCGCTCTCGCTGAGGGCCGTGTCATCTGGGCTGTCCACTGGCGTCTGGCGCGTGAAACGGGTGTCAAAGTGACTTACATCTTCCTCAGACTGCTGCGGGCACCCAGGTGCAACAGGGTCAGGTGGCACCACCCGAGATGGGGTCTCCCACCTCCCCCACTGCTGGGCCCTGGGGGGGCCTCAGCTCACCAGACAAGGCCTGAAAGGGGGGTCCACGCGGCAGGCCAGGAGGTCGTCCCAGTTGATGTGCCGGAAGAAGGGGTGCCTCTGTGTGGGGAACAGAGCACCCCAGACATGCCCACAGCCATCTTCCACAGCTGCCCCCGGGGCTCCCAGCCCTCTGGGGGGGTCCCAGACCCACCTGCACATCAGCAGCGTCTCCGGGGCCACCCCCAAGCCGTTGGCTGGGATTCCGCTTCAGAAACTGTGGGACCAGGGTGGAGGTGAGGGCTGGGGCGAGTGTGACCTCCACGTGCTGATGGGGCCGAGGGCGCCCCCTGCAGGAAGCCCTTGGAAGAGGCTGCCACTGCCCGGGGAAACACATGCTCCGCCCTCCCTCGCCCCTGCCCCAGCTCTGGGGAGCTGCTGCACTCTGGGACTGCGGCATGGGGCGTGTCCAGGGTGTCAGAGCTCAGGGCCCTGAACCCCAAAGCGCCCCTCCAGCCCCTACCTTCTTGACAAGGTCCCGGGCGTCGGGGGTGAGGTAGGGGGGCAGCCCCAGCTTCCCCCGGATGATCTTATCCATGGTCTTCTTGCGGTTCTCTGCGGTGAAGGGCGGCTGGAGGAGGAAGAGGGTGAGAGAAGCCTGGTGGGCCGCCCCCAAGCCCTGGCCTGCCCCGTGGGGTCCCTCTCCCCCACACTGCCCCCTCCTCCCCGGGAGGCGGGACTTGCCGATCCAGTGAGCATGTCATACATCAGCGCCCCCAGACTCCACCAGTCCACCGCCCGGTTGTGGCCGCTGCGCACCAGGATCTCGGGGGCCCTGGGAGGTGGGAGGCGGGGCAGGGCGCACGGTCAGTCCCGACACGGCCCTCCCTGGCTGACCTGCGCCCTCAGGGGCCACTCACATGTACTCAATGGTGCCGCAGAAGGTGTGCGTCACAGCATCCTCATGGATGGACTCCTTGCAGAGACCAAAGTCTGTGAGCTTGATGTGGCCTGGGGGGAACCATGCGGGAGCGGGGACGGGGTGGCTTCAGGGCTGGCCTCGGCACCATCCTCCCCTCAAGCCCACCCCGTCCACGCCATGGCGCCTGCGCACCCTGGCTGCTGAGCATAATGTTCTCTGGTTTCAGGTCCCGGTAGATGATGCCCTGGGCATGCAGGTGGCCCAGGGCCAGCGTGATCTCAGCCAAGTAGAAGCTGCGGAGATAGGACAGGGTGACGCCACAGCCGGGACTGCCCCCATGGGGCCGGGAGGATGCCAGGGAGGACAAGGGTAACACCCACCAGGCCGTGTCTTCCAGGAAGATACCCTCTCGCTCCAGCTGCATGAAGAGCTCGCCACCTGTGACACAAGCCGGTCAGCGGCCCTGGCGCCCAGACCCGGCCCCTCGGCTCTCTGCATTTCTGTTTCCTCTCGGGGTTCAGGGAATGGGGGACGTAGGGCTGCTCATTCCCACACCACCTGCCTCAGAGCTGCCGTGAGGATTCTATTTGGCAAACATCTGCTGATGCCTGTGCAGGGCACAGCCAGCGGACGCAGGGCAGGGCGGCAGACCAGCCACTGCCCTCAGGGAGACACGCTGTGAGGGCTGACCCCCACCCCCTGGAGATTCACAGAGGAGGAGGCGGGGAGACATGGTAAGTGCTACCCAGCAGCAACAGAGATGGGGGGCATGGAGAAGGAGGCAGAGCAGGGCCTGGCAGGGCCCAGCAGGGAGGAGGCAGAGCGGGTTGCTGGCAGGGCCCAGTGGGTACAGGCGAGGAGGCAGAGCACGGCGCTGGCAGGGCCCCGTGGGTACAGAGGACGAGGTGCCGGTGGGAGAAGCGGCCCAGACGAAGCCCAGTGGGCCAGGAAACCGGTGGCTCTGAGCGCAAAGCTGGGCACAGATGCCTTCTAGAAAGATGACCCAGCGGCCACTGGAGAGATGCCAGAAAGGTGAGCCAGAGGCCTGGAGCCCGGTGGGGAGACAGCTGTGCCACCACCCCCCGCCAGAGGACAGACACAGCCGCTGGATGTGGGTCCTCCGGGGACCAGGACAGCATGGGAAAGAAGGAGCAGAGAAACCGACTAAGCCACCCTGGGGGGACCCCACACGGGCCCCACCCCCACCCCACAGCCAGCCACCCCGACACAGGGGAGGGACATGTAGGTACTGGACAGACGGCTGCTGAGTGAATGGAGGGGCAGGGGGATGGAGTGGTGGGTGGGTGGGTGAGTGCATGTGGGCTCCCACACAGGCCCCGCCCCGACCCCACGGCCAGCCACCCCGACAGGGGAGCGACATGTAGGTACTGGACAGACGGCTGCTGAGTGAATGGAGCGGCAGGGGGATGGAGCGGTGGGGTGGGTCTGGGCTCCCTGTGCTGGTGCCCCGGCCCCATTCCTGCCCAGCACCCCCACACCCATACCACTGAGGCACTCAAGAATAAGATAGAGTTTGCCCCCCGTCTGGAAGGCGTAGGCCAGTTCCACGATGAAGGGGTGCTTCACTGATTCCAGAATGTTCCTCTCGGCACGCGTGTGGGCCGTGTCCTTGGCGTTGCGCACAATTTTGGCCTGGAGATTCACGTGGGGGTGGTGGGAGGAAGCAGTTACGGTTAGGGCTCCATAGCTCCCGGCCAGGGCAGGGCGGCCACTCGGAGTGCAACCCCAGCCGGCCCAGCCCGCGCCTCACCTTCCTCAACACCTTCATGGCGTATATTTTACCGGAGTTGCTGCCTTGCACCTTTCGCACCTGGAACACCTGTAGGGCAGGGACGACAGGCTCAACCTCCCTCCTGAGGCCCGGCCCGCCCCAGGGAGGGGCGGCTGTTTGATTCAGGGCAAGACCAGGGCCCTCCTTTCCTATCTCCCAGCTCCAAAGCCTATCCCAGGGGCCCCGGCCGACAAATCTCATCTGTTTTGAGGGTTGCTGCCTCCGTGTCCCCCACTCCCACCCTAGGGGAGGGCCACTACCTTGCCATAGCCCCCCTTGCCCAGCACTCGGAGCAGCTCAAAGCAGTGCGGCCCAATGCGCTCGGGGCCCGGGTTGACGCTCCTCTCGCTCAGCTCCACCTCCTCGTAGTGTCCCACGGACCTAGGAACGCCAGAGTTGACCAGTCGGGGAGCTCCTCCCTGACGGCGCCCCATCCTCACTCCCAGCCTCAGCACGACCCTCACTCACTCCAGGCCAGCAGCCTTCAACTCGGCAAGGGGACACACGTCCTGTGGGAAACCGAGGCGGTCAGAGCCCTAGGAGGTTCAGGTGCCTCCCCACCCCCACGCCCCCTTGGCCCCACCAGCTGGGTCTGTTCGGCCCAAGAGGGGCTCCCGGCTGAGGCCTTTGGCGGTGGAACCGGCCGGGACGGAAGACCGCGATGCCCAGGGCAGGCGGAGGAATGGGGTGAGCTTGATGGGCGCGGGGAGCTGACAAGGATCGGGAACCGCGCGCGGGGCTCCGGCGGCGGCTGGGGAGTCGGCATCAGCTCCGGGATCCTGACGCGCCCGGGAGCAGCACTCACCGCGGGACTCAAGTCTGGCTCGCCCTCGCCTTCGCTGCCTTCCTCCGTCTCCAAGTCCAGGTCGAAAACGGCCGCCATGGCCGCGCCGGCCCCGCGGGCCCCTCGGGCCGCGTACCTGCAGTGCTTTGACTGACAGCTGCCGGGCCGGCTCTGTACTTTCTTACTTCGCGACCGCCGCCGGGCGCGCGCGAGTGACGTTCAGAAGCTTTGCCCTCTGTCGGGCAAGCCGCAAAGCCTCTCGGGAGTTGTAGTCCCAGAGTGCCCGGGCGCTCTTCTTTTTAAAGCCCGTGGAACCCGCTGCTGCCCCAGGGTTGGCACTGGACAGGGGGGACCTGAAAGGTGCCCATTTTGGCCCTGATGGGGCAGAGATGGACACAGGTGATGCGCCTCTCTCTTGGGCCCACCATAGGCCCTGGCTGGGCTTTGAGGCCAGACTCCTGCCTGCAGGTGTTTCTGGCTCACCCCAAAGCCAGGCAGTGAGTTTAAACTGGAAGGACACTGTCGCTGGATGGAGCTGTGCTGGGGTGAACTGGGGCCAGACCTTGGTGTGAGTCTGCCAGCAACTGCCCCCACCCCACCCCGTTGCTGAGGGGCAGCTGGGGATGAGCTGGTTTGGACAGACTGCAGGGCCTCCAAGCGGGCAGGCGGCCATCCGGCTGGACACAGTCCCCAGGTGCAGGCGCAGGGCAGGCTGATCCGTGGGGTCGTTCCCCTTCTCCTTAGCAGAGCCTGGGAGTGGTCCGGGTGACAGAACCTTCTGGAGACTTCACTATGTCAGCATTTATTGGGGGAGGGGGGCTTGGGACACTGCGCACAATCCCTGTGTCCCGCAGTATTTCTGAACCCAAAGCGGGGGGAGGGTAGCATGGCCTCCTCTAGTTAAACCTGGACTTGGCATCGTGACCTATGACCCCTGTCCACCATGGCGTCATCTGAGGGCAGTGTATTCCCTATCAGGATGGGGGCAGCCGCGGCCACCTGGCCACATGAGGGGACATACATGCGCACTGCCGGGTGCCCTTGGAGGGCCCTACCAGAAGTCTCCAGTGTATTCTAGAACCATCCTAGACTTTGGATGAAAGAGGGACTTTTAGCCGCAGATTCTCCTGGGACTTGTGCAAAGCCAACAACCCAGGCAGGTTCTGTCTTCCCGCAGGTTGCAGGGAGAGATGGCCCTGGAGGGGTGAGGAGGAGAGGCAGGGGGTGGGTCTGTGGGCTCCTAGGGCAGGGGACAGTAGCAGTATGTGCGCAAATAGCTGTGGTATTTCCAAGACTAGGATTCTGGGGCAGCTGTGGGCCAGGTGGGGCCTCTGGCTTTGGCTAGCCCTCCAGCTGCAGGGCCCAGGTCAGAGTAGCAGGCTGGCCTGGGGCGGGGGCAGGGGCAGGCGTGGGGCCGGAGGGAGAGACGCAGAGACGGCAGTCCTAGCGCCCCTCCCCCAGCACTTGGTCCCTGCCCCCTGGCCCCAGCGCTATTTGAAGTGAGACAGGAAGTGGTCCACAGGGTAACTGGGCTTGTGGATGCCCAGGCCCTGGCAGAGGCCCAGTAGGCGGAGGCGGGCTTCGGCGGGGCTGGGCCCAGCACAGGCCACACTGCAATAGGGCTCCTCGTATTCACCGGGCACCAGGGCCTCCTCCAGCAGGTTGAGGCGCAGCAGGCCCTGGTCGTGCAGTGCCTGCAGGGTCTCACGGCTGGCCGTGGAACTCAGCGTCTTCAGGTGCTGGGACACCAGGCACATGACCCCCACGAGGTGGCCCCGGGCACGGGGGTGGGTGGGCAGCGCCGGCCGCAGGCCGCAGGCCACCATGGCAGCAGCCAGCAGCAGATCCACCCCGTAGAGCTCCAGGATCCAGTCGCGCAGGTAGAAGCCCCCCATGCGAGGGTTGATCTCGATGAGTCGAGGCCCAGCCCTGGTCAGCTTCAGCTCCACGTTGAAGACGCCATCCAGCAGCCCGCAGCCCAGGCAGCAACGGAAAGCGGCCTGCACCAGCTGGGCCTCCTGCTCTGGCGCCAGCCCCGTGGGCATGCAGGCCGCTGTCTCTGTGAAGCCAGGCAGCCGGGTGGGGCCGTTGTCGGAGACGAAGGCGGCCAGAAGGCGACCGCCGAACAGCACGAGGTCCACATCATGCTCCGTGCCCTCGACGAACTCCATCAGCAACATGGCGTTGCCCCAGCCCAGCCCGATGCCTGGGTGGTCAGCCTCGCCCTGCAGGTCGCGGGCGATGCGAGAAAAGTGCTCGTGGCACTGGGGGGCATCCTCCACCAGCCGCACGCCCACCGCGCCTGCCCCGAACTCCAGCTTCATGACGCCAGGCAGGGGCACCTGGTGGACGGCTCTCTCCACGTCAGCCTCGCTCTCCAGCGGGCAACAGGGCACAGCGTGGAGGGCGGGCGCAGGCCAGGGCGGGCCGCGGCAGCGCAGCAGGTGCAGCTGGGTCTGGCTCTTCTGTTTGGCCAGGCGCATGGCGGCCGGGGGGCTGCCAGGCAGGCCCAGCTCCTGGCAGAGCAGGGCTGTGAGCACCAGGCAGTCGTCCCAGTAGGAGAAGCAGCCGTCCAGCTGCAGGCCACGCGCCCGCACCAGCTCAGCCAGCAGCCGGGCGTTCTCCTCATCCCTGCGGTGCTCGGTCACATCGAAGTGGATGAAGGTGTGCACCAGCTGGGACGCAAAATGGTTGGGGTCCGACTCCACCAGGTGCAGCTGCAGAATCACAGGAGGGGAGCATGCCCGGGTCAGCTGGAAGCACAGGGCGGGGCCTCAGGGAGAGACTCCCCCCGGTGCCCAGCAAGTAACTGCTGATGGCGCACGCAATAGTTGGGAAGCGGGGAGTTGGCAGGGGAAGGATGGAGTCCTAGCGGAGTCGGTGGTGCTTAAGCTGGAAGCTCAAGTGTGAGCGTGAGAAGCCAGAGGAAGCCAGGCCCCGCCCCAGGGGCTGCTGACCACGCCCACAAGATCCCGCCCCCAGTGCTGCTGGCCCCACCCCCAGCGACAACCCCGCCCCTAGATCCCGCACAGGCTCCGCCCCCAGGACTGCGGGCCCCGCCCCCGGCGATGGCTCCGCCCCTAGAGCCCGCCAGGACTGATGGAGGCGCCCGCACAGGCTCCACCCCGAGGACTGCTATCCCCGCCCCCAGCGCCAACCCCGCCCCTAGAGCCCGCCAGGACTGGTGAAGGAGCCTGGCAAGGCTCCGCCCCCAGGACTGCTGGCCCCGCCCCGGCGCTCGGGCCCGCCCACCTTGAGCCCGTAGTCGCGCGCCGCCTCCCACACGAACTTCTTGCTGACGCCGCCCGCGCCCACCAGCAGCAGCTGCTTGCCCTCCATGAGGCAGCGCGCCGAGCGGCGCAGCATGGTCTCCACGAGCGGCGCGGCCGCCGGCTCCTCCGCCGCCGGGCCCAGGCGCGGCGCTGCCCACAGCCCCTCGAGCGCTCCGCACGCCTCCAGACAGCGGCCCCCGTTCAGCTTCAGGAGCACGGGGGTCAACGCGCCGCCGGCCACCGTCAGGGCGAAGTCCACGCCTGGCACAGACAGGGGCTCAGCGCGGGGCGGCCGGCCCGCAGCGCTCGCGCCCTCCCTCCGCGCACTCACCCAGGACGTCCGTGCGGGCCCGGCGCCCGCCGCGCTGCTCGGCGCTCAGGCCGGCCTCCAGAGCCAGCACGGCGGCCATGGCGGCCTCGGCCGCCGCCTTGACGCGCTGCCGCACGGCTTCCACCTGCGCCGCCTCGCCCAGGCCGCACTGGGCCAGGGCCACCTCCAGCTTCCTGGGCAGGGAGCTCTGGTGCCGCGGGGGCCTGTCCCCGCGGCCCACACCGCACACCACCTGGGCAGGGAGCTGCTCAAGGGGCTGGCCGGGGCGGGGCGCTCCCAGGACCACCCCGACCCGGGATTCAACAGCCACACGCAAACTTGTGTCTTTCACCCAGAGACAACCCAGGGCACCCGCCCCCGTCGAATGGGGGCAGGGTGGGGCTGGGGTGTGACAGGCAGGGTCGCTCCCCGGACCCCTCCCGGGCCAAACTCACTTTGCTCAGGAGGGGCCTGTCCCCCTGGGTCCGACACACCACGGTGCAGATGCGCGGGGTCATCGCGGGACCCGGCAAGGGGCCGCCTGGGGGAAGACCAGGGGCTGGAGACCTAAGCGCAGCCCAGCCCAGAGCAGGGCGGTCACGCCCAGCGCCCACTCCCGGGGCCACCGCCCAGATGACTCTCACCTGGGCAGGGCAGCCGGGCGGGCGGGCACATGGCCTCCACCAGCACGCTCTCCTCTTCCTCGAGTTTCTCCAGCAGCCCCAGCACCGTGCCCACCACAGCGCCGTGCTCTGCCCGCGGGTGCACACACGAGGCCTGCTGCCCGCCCCAGCGCCAGCCGCTGAGCCTCACGGCCACCTGCAGCAGGGAGAGGACAGGTGTGTGTGTGGGGGGGGGCACTCCTCAACACCAGCCCGAGTAAACCAAGGTCGGGGACGGCGGCACAGCAGGGCAACCATAGGGGCTCCTCGAACTTGTTACCTGCTGGGTATCGCCCAGGGCCTCGGAACGGAGAAAAGCCCCTACTTCTTCATTCACCAAGGCACCCTGGCCCTCTTTGCCACTCAGCTCCACCAGCCTCAGGCCCGGACTGGCATCCCCTCCCCTCAGCAGAGCTGGCGGCTTGTAGGTGAAAGCCAGGGTGGCAGGCACAGCCACGTCACCCTGCTGGGCCAACAGGCACCTCATGAGCAGCCGGTCCTCCAGCAGTTGGGCCAGCTCCGCCGAAGCGCCTGTGGGGCATGCCAGGTTGCGGGCAAGCTCAGCTGCTTCCCGGCCCAGGCCTGGCCCCAGCCCCAGGCCCGCCAGGAAGTAGGTGGCCCGCCGAGGGGGGACAAAGTCCTCTAGAAACGTCAGACCCCCCGGATGGAAGCTCACGGCCTTGGACACCAGCAGGGCTGCCTCCCCCGGGGACCCAGGGGCAGGCACCTTCGTCAGCCAAGCCGGGGACAGGCAAAGGAGCATGTTTCCTGTGGGCGGAAGGAGGAGGGGGTGACTTGCCAAGGAGGACTTCGTGCCCCAAACCCTGGCACCAGCCCCGGGGGCCCCTGTAGGGTGGGGGTAGCTGCTCCCGGAACCTACCCTCCGAGGAGGGTGGCAGCTGGTCCCCTGGAATGCCGGCAGTTGCCAGGGTTGGTGGGTATTTTGGGACGTGGCTG